ACCCCATTCCAGGAGAGAGGAGGTTTCTGGAGTAACTGACCTGGCCAAAAAAGGAAACCATGAGACATGGAAACTTCTCGGTACAGAGCAGTCAGCTAGAGCAGAGGAAGTGTGGTCAGGCTCTTATGACACAGCCAGTTGTGTGAAAGGAGGGACACAGAGCTGGCAGTGGAGGACAGGGCGGAATGGGCGCCACTGACTCATACGCAGGCCCGTCTCTCCCTCCACTGTCTCTGTAGGCCATTGCACCTGCCCCCAGGCTGAACCTCAGCTTCCCACCTGCATATGGTGGCAGGGGAGCAGGAGAGAGACATGGCTTTTGCCAAAGAAGGGAGCCTCCTCCCTGCTGCCCAGAGCTCTGGGGACCAGCTTAGTCTGGTCGGGCTCAGCACCACACAGCTCTCCCTGCTTCTTCTAAATGCCCAGGACCCAACCACAGCCTGGCTGGTCAACTGGGTCAAGCCTCCGAGAAGGGGAAGCTGTACAGAGGAAGGGCAGCTGCCCTACCCCCAGCACAGAGCCTCACAGAGGCAGGACTGGTGGAGATGGAGCTGAGGGCCAAGGTCTCCACCTGGAGACACTGGACCCCACCCACCCTCATGGCCAGGAGTCACCAGGGAAAGCCCTGCTTTCCCCACATCCAGCCTCGACTTACCACCAGGAAGCTGGCACGACACTGTGGAATCCCAGCCCTGGCAAGACCTTTCTTACCTGCTGTGGTCTTCATCAAGTCCCCATCTCTCAATACTGTTCATCTGAGTCATGGCACCTGCTAGTTCTTAGCTGCTTTCAGCTCCCCAGGTAGCCTGGGAGTGTCCAGGACGGGGACAGGGTACTCATTCTCTGGCCCCTGCAGGTAACCAGGTACAGGACAAGATACTGGGTGGTCTCAGTGCAGACCTGGTGGCAGGCCCACTTGACCCTCAGGAAGGAGAGGTAAGGAGCCTGGGTGTTGCTGGCATGAAGCCCTCCCTTCTCAAGAGCTGCAGTTTTGCCCCATAGCCAGGCAGGGTGTGGAAGGACTCGTGGCCCACCTCACATGCCCCCTTTAGCACAAAACTTCCCAGAAGCCCTCAGGCTGAGCTGACTCAGCACCTTTCCTGCCAGGATGTCCTCTTCTGGCTTATCTCTCTGGTCTTAGTCATAGTTTTTGGGGTCAGAAAATCTGTCAAGCCAGGAGCTTCTTGCTGTCCCTCTCTTTTTTCAGGCAGCTCCTACTCTTCCTGCTATCTCAGCTTACTACTCCTCCAGGAAGCCTCCATGATATAGCAGGGCAGAGTAGGGAGCCCCTCTGTTCTGGTGGCTGCCCTATAACTGCCCCATCACACTCCAGTGGAAGGACCTGTGTTCCTATCCATCTCCCAGTCTACACTACAGAGGCAAGGCTGCATCTTGTCTCTCATCACTGGCTCCTCAAGCCCAGCCCTGAATCAGCATAAGACTGACTCTGGTAAATGATGAATGAACATGTCCACCTTTGAGGCTGCAAGCCCACTTCCTCCAGCAGATCCTGGGCCTCCTGCCCAAGAGAAACAATGACAAGAAAAAGCACAAACCTCACAGGTTTCCCCTGATTCCCCAGCTCTTCATTTCTATTACTCTGCTAAGGTTCAAATGAGCCACATACCTGTTCCTAGCCATTCCCATTCTAGAGAGGCAAGAAGCCCAGGGCATGAAGGCTCAGAAAAGAACAATCTCCTCCAACATCGTCTTTGGGCAACTCAGGAAACTGCGGCTCAGAGGAAAGCAAGGACTTGTCCAATGTCACACAACAAATCAGGCCAGAGCTGAGACCAAGAGCTCCTAGCTCCTCCCCTGCCCCATGGTCTTCCTCAGGCTGTTATCAAGGCTGTTATTAGCATCCTCCTCACCCTACCCCACTCCACTCCCACCTGATTCCTCCCAGAATCAGGACAGAAAAGTTAGGGTTAGTATAATTGGAAGCTCCTGGTGACATCACCAAGCAGTTCTCCCAGCCCAGGAACTCCCCCCTCATCCTGGGAATCACCCCCCTCCCTGCTCTTCAGGGGGAGTGCACTATAAAAGTGATGAGCATATTTGGGTCTCTGGGGGGCAAGGATTTCCACTGGAAATGCTGACGTTAGTGGAGCCCCAGCTGTGACCTCACTCCCTGGAGAAGATGACAACAAGCCCCTACCCTTGGGAGTGGCCCCATAATGGCTCCCCAGAAGCTACAAGTCAACAATAACATCCTGCAGTTTAATTGGACAAGGACAGAACTGGCTGGGCTGGTGGAAGTCGGAGGCGTGGGCTTAGATTCCAGCTGTGGACAGGCAGCCTCACCTCTGGTTTTAAGAGTCAGAGCGACTCCTGGGCTTCTCCATCTCCACCAACCAGCCATGGAGGGGGGCAGGGTGCACAGCTTACAACCTCCTGCCCACTCTGCCCTCGCTGCAACCTACTCCCCTCTGGTCCCTGCTTGCCAAAAGCTGAGGCACTCAGCCTCAACTGGCCCAAGCATCAGTGCCAGCCCTCAAGGGACAACCTCCAGAGCCTCTGTAGAGACAGTTCAGATCTCAAGGGCAATCAGCAGGTCAATGCTGGCACATTCCTCTCCCCACCACCGCCACTGCCCCAGGCTGCTCAGGGACGTTCCCCAAATATAAGCTGGGACCCTGCCAGAGCTCCCTAGTATAATCTTTCTCTAGTAACAAAAAAAGAAAGAACTTTCCATAACTACTCCTGATCCCTCGCCTCTCTTATCTCAATCCCCATCCCCAGTTCCTCCATGCCCAGTGTAGGGAGCTCTGGCGGCCTAGTGGTAAGAGCTGCACTGTCAACTCAAAAGTACGCAGTTCAATTCCACTAGCTGCTCTTTAGGAAAAAGATGGGCAATCTCCACCCATGTGATTTACAGCCCCTGAAAATCTTCCAGAGCTCCAATTCGATGGTACACTACAACAACAACATCTCCAATAGAGTTCTCCTGTAGAAACCATTCCAGAGCCGCCATCATCCTTGAACCGGCTCTACCTGAAGGCCACCATCCTACCACTATGCCCAGCCACTGGAGACCAGGATCTAAAGCTACATCATGGCCTAAAGAGGGTCCCTTCTCCCCCCTACAATTGAGTGTGCCCTTCTCAAGCCCATTCTTGCCCGAGTGCCATGTGTCACCCCACAGGAGTCAGGAGGCAGCTGTCAGCCGGGTACACCGTCACCAGCTGGTGGCCCTGGGGAGCAGGTGGATGGCAGGGCCTGTCTGGCCAGTGGGATGCTTGGCACTGGTAAAGGCAACCACAGACTGCCCTTGACAAGCCTGGTAAGGGGCTGGTAGACCCCAAGCCAAGGGGCCAGTCAACCTGGCTAAAGCAAAGACCAGCAAACAGGGGGAAGGGGGGTGGAGTAGGCTGGGAGCTCTGAAAAGTGGGTAACAGGGCTGAGAGGAGCTTTAGAGAGTCTCAGGGTGTGGACTAGGCACCCAGGATGAGGAGTTACACATTAAGTGCTGAGAAGTGGGTGTGCATCAAGTGCACATGTGGAGAGAGGGGAGGACACTGAGGAGGGACACAGAGCTTTGTGCAAGGGGAAATTTCAGAACAGTCAGATGGGACCATTTGTCCCCTCCAGGACTCAGGTCTATCCAGGTGTGCCCCAGGAGCAGGAAGTTAGCACTCCCACCTCACCACTGCCTACTTCCCCATGAACACTATTGCCTGAGTAGCAGAAATGGCCCCCAGACTCCCTCATTCAGGGCCAGAGGACCACCCTAAAGCTCCCATCTCTAATCCAGAGCCAGGACTGCATCCCCGCCTGCAGGATGAATTCCAACAGTGCCCAGTGACCTTGGACAAGTCGCATCCCCTCCAACGCTGCCGCAGTTCAGGCCACTCATTTCATGTGCGGGATTTCCCCCCCTCTGCTAAGAATACCTGCCCCAGATAATGCTCAAAGCCTGCAATCCCTGCAAACCGCCACAGGCATCAAAAGACTCCTTTGGGGCAAGCCCAGCCCCCGCCCCAAGAGTCCACCACCACTACAGGGGGCCCGAAGCGACGCCAAATTTCAGGGACAGAGCTCAGTCGGCTTGAGGGCGGGGGTGGCATTTGTGTGCAATGCAGGAGAGGGGAGCTCAGTCCCTAGTGGTAGAAACCCTCAAACCTCTGCCTTCTGTCCCATTGTACAGGGGTCTCGACTGAGGTGTCTCAAGGGGAGACTCTGGTCCCCCCAGTTTACATGTTCATCACGGCCTACAGGCTGCACTTCAGCCCCAAATCTGCCGCCTGAAGGTCCCAACGGCCGCGCCCCATCCGCCAGAGACTGCCCCCCACGCTGGAGCGGATTCCTGGTGACAACTGCCACGTGCGGGCAAAGGGGGAGCGGCCGGTCCCAGCATTGCAGAGGCAGCACCCGAGTACCCCAAGCCCCTGCACCCCACCTCCCCCCGACTCGTCGCAGGGTGGCCACCCCCGTGTCTGGCCCGTGCTCGGGGCCGGGGCCGGGGCGGGGGCGGGGGCGGGCGGCGGGGTCTTTGTTCCCGCAGCCGGAGCGCAGTGGCGGCGGCAAGGGGTCCGCGTCGCTCTGCCCAGCCCAACCTGCGCCCCGCGCGCCCGCGGAGCCTACAGCTCAGGAGGAGGGGGCTCGGGTTAGGGGACACGGCCGGGGGAGCGTCTCCCGCAGAGGCCCCCCGCACCGGAGGAAGGAGAGCAGCTCTGGGCCGTGAAAGGGGCCCGCCCCCTCCCTCTGCGCCCGGGCGCTGCGGCTCCGGCTGCGGGCGTACTTGGAGCGACTTATCCTGGGCTCCAGCCCCCGCCGCTCGCGCACCGCAGCGTTACCGCCGGCTCCGGCGTGCCGGCGCGCGCGCACACACTCACACATATACACACTCACACATGCTCGCCTGGACCCGCACGCTCCCCGCAGGGCCAGCCCGGGACCTGCAGAGCCACGCGAACACACTCCCTCCCGTGCCACACTCTCCGCGCTCGCCCGGTGCAGCGCCCGACCTCTCGCCCCGCCGGCCGCGCGGCGCCGCCTACCTTCCCAGACGAAGGAGATCCGGGGTCCGCTCCTCCGGTAGCCTTGGGCGGCGGCGGCGGCCGCCAGGAGCGGCAGCAGGAGCCGCAGCAGGAGCCCTGACCAAGCCGGCGGGCGGATGACTGGGGAGCGCAGGACACCGAGGGCGGCGCGTCCGGGCGGGGGCGGTGTCATCCCGTGGCCCCGGAGCGAGAGCGGCGAGCAGCCGAGACTGAGCCAGCGCCCGGCCGCAGGCAGACCCAAGCTCGAGGAGGCGGAGTCACAACGCCTGACCCCACCCCGCCCCTCCCCCGCCCCTCGCCTCCTTGCCTTTCTCCCCTACTCTGCGGCCCGAGGGGGCGCAGTGCGGGCGCCCAGGGAGCGTTTGCCATCCAGTCCGCACCAACTCTATGGGAGAACCCGGCGGGGGCCAAGAAAGATCTGTGGCCTTCAGTGATCGGTGGAAGGTACCGTTCCCTCTCTGGGCCTCAGTCCCACTCTCATGAAAGGATTGTGCTCAAAGTCGCAATAGAACCTGCCACAGGGCACAGACAGCCTAACGCCAGGCCACTTTGCTAATGGTCAGCTAAGTGGTTTGGACCCAAAGGCTGTGGTTTTCTGACGATGAGCTGGAGTGAGTGGACACAGGCTCCCTGCTGAGCCGCAAACAGGACAAGATGCTTTCCACCAAGAGTGCAGCAGCGGGCAGGGACGATGATCATTGGGGATATCTCGGCGCCCCACTATCGACTCTGCCAGTGAGAACACTGGGAAGGTTTCATCTTGGCCTGGCTCCCTCCCCTCCCTTCTCCTCTCTTCCCCAGCCAGCAGCCTTCTGGGCTGCCTCCCCCCTAACCAGCTGGTGTACGCTCAGAAAATCCAAACTCATTTCCATGTGAGCAGAGGGGGGATATAATTAGGAAGGCCCCTTCCTAATTAAGGAGAACGTGAGAAAAGAGGGAGCATGCCCAGGCCTCCCAGTCAGGGGGACAGGGTCAGCCCAGCTTTAGGGGATTTCTGCTTAGAGGTGCAGGGGCTTCCTCTGCCACAAGCGATCTGGTGACCCAGTGGTAACCCAGGGCTCTGAGTTCTGTCTCTCTGCAGTGACCTGAACAACCCAAAGAGTTCTGCCATCAGCTCACCTGCCTTTCAAAGGGTTCCCCTCCATCCCCGAAGTCCGAAAGGGCCCAGATCTACCACTTCTGCTTGTGTTCCAGCTATCTAGCCATGAGCATTTCATCCAGGACTTTTCCAGGACACTCAACCCCAGGCGGGATACACTGGGAAGAGATTGGAGATCAGAGGGAGCAGAGAGTGAAGCACTTCCATTTTCAGACCTAGGTAGATCTGATGAAAAAACTGTAGACGCCAAGACAGTGGACAAGGACCAGCCCCAGCCCTCTGTCCAGCCCTGGGGCCAGAGAAGTTATGCTACAAGGAAACTGTGTTTTATCATTCTGTACTTTTAGTCAAGCTATGACCTTTCATAAAGAGCTCCAAGGAATTCTAGCAGGTCAGGATGGGAAAATCAAGATGCCTCCAGAGAGGGGACTTGGTTCATCGCCAGCTGGCTGAGGCCAGCACTTCCTGATGCCAAGGGATACAGTGCCCCGACATAGAAGGAGGCTAAAGGCCATCTGAGAGCTTCTCCCAGGTCTCATCTGCTGAGCTGGGTGAACCGCCTTCCCCTAGTGTCTGCCCCCTCTGTGCAAAGTTACAGACTTTGTTGTTGGTAGGTGCCATGAAGTCAGCAAGTCAGTTGCAACTTACAGGGAATCTGTGTCCAACAGAAAGAAACATTGCCTAAGCTTGTCATCCTCCCAAACACTGTTGCTTTGTTTATACCCACTGTTTCAGCCACTGTGTCAATCCAGCTCACTGCCGGTCTTCCTCTTCTTTTTGTGGACCTCCTACTTTACCTAGCATGATTTCCTTGTCCAGAGACTATGTTGTTGTTGTTTCTGAGTACTGCGTCAGCACCAACCCATAGCTGATCCTCCAGCAGGTTTTCATAGGCTGTTACTCGCATGGGAGGAGATTGCCTATCTCCTGCTGAGTCGCTGGTTGATTCAAACGGGCTGCCTTCAGGATTACAGCACAGTTTCTTATCACTAGAGTTAAACCCTCCTGAAAACATGTCCAAAGTATGTCAAACTAATGTCATCATTGGCACTTCAAAGGAGTATTGTGGCTATCCTTTGTCCAAGATAGACTTGTTCATCCTTCTGGCAGGCCATGGTTGTTGTTGGGTGCCATCAAGCTATGGCTTATAGTGACCCTATGAACAACAGATCTGAACCTTGCCCTGTTCTGCACCATCCTCATCCTCTCCATCATGCTTATGCCCACTGTGGTAGAGAGTGTCAGTCCATCTCTTTGAGGATCTTCCTCACTGTCACCAACCCTTTCCCTTTCCCAACCTGATGTTTCTTTCCAAGGACTGCTTACTCCTGAAAAATATGCCCAGAATGCATGAGACAAAATTCCACCATCCTTGCCTCTAAGGAGCACACTCGTTACACTTCCTTCAAGACAGATTTTTTTGTTCTTTTGGTAGGATAAAGCGTAGGACTGGTCATCCACTTCTGAAATAAGAGGACTTTGAACACTCTATGGGCAACTGAAGTCCATGGTATAACATTGTAAGTCAAGGGCATCAGTTCTTCCATCTCTCTCATTCATTGTTCCCACATGCATGTGACTTGGGTCAAGTGCTCCTTAAGCCTCAGAAAGACATTTTAAAGAGTTCTTCTGCAGCACATAGGCTCAGGGCAAATGTCATTTGATTTCTTTAAAAAAAATTGGGCATTGATTGTGAATCCAAGTAAAATGAAATCTTTGACAATCTCTTTGACATCACTTTCCCATTTATCATCATGTTGCTTACTGGCCCAGTTGTGGGAAACCCTGTTTTCTGTATGTTGATGTATAAACCATAGTGAAGGCTGTAGTCTGTGATCTTCATCAAGTAAGTGTGTTCTCACTTTCAGCAAGCAAGCTTACATCATCTGCATATCACAGACTGTTAATTCATCTTCCCCTAATTTTCATGCTGCATCCTTCCTCATGTTATTTATTTCTCAGATTATTTGCTCAGCATACAAATTAAGTAAGTGTGGTAACAAATGTGACTCTGATGTGCATCTTTTCTGATATTAAACCGCACAAAATCCTCGTGTTCTGTTTGATGACTGCCGCCTCTTGGTCTATGTACAAATTCTGCATGAGAATAATGAAGAGTTCTGGAATCTTCATGCTTTTCAATGTCATCCATAATTTGTTATGATTCATAGTTGAATGCCTTTGCATAGTCAGTAAAACACAGGAAAACATTTTTCTGGTAGTCTCTGCTTTCATCCAGTATTCATCTGACATCAGCAATGATATCCCTCATTCCATGTCTTCATCCGAATCTAACTTGAATTTCTGGCTATCTCCTGTCAATGTACTGCTACAACTGTTTTTAATTACCTGCACCATAACTTGACTTACATATAATATTAATAATATTTTTTATCATTTCCACATTCTGTGGGGTTTCCTTTTTCTGGAATAGGCTACATATGGACCTCTTATAGTTAGCTGGCCAGGTAGCTGTCTTCCAAATTTCTGGGGATAGACCAGGGAGTGCCTCCAGCATTGCATCTGCTTGTTGAAACATCTCTATTGTATCCCATTCATCCTGAAGCCTTATTTCTTTGCCAATACTTTCAGAATATCTTGGACTTCTTCCCTCAGTAATATTGTCCTTTTTTTTAACAATTTAGCAAATCTGTATTAATTTGAAGCTTGCATATAGATTATCAGTAATCACCACAAAATAGTTTAAAACTTAGCCATAGAAAAGTACATTTTAGAAAAAGTATCATAAAATTCATACTATTTAGAAGTGCAGAGACATGATGATACTAAAAAGATCATTTTAAAATTAAAAATAGGGAATAAAGCCCAGCAACAATTAAGGTTACATGTAGAGCTAACCTGAAAGCAGACACTAAGTACTATTCTTGATCCTATGCTACTTCTTGAAATGGCTGAATGCTAACCAACTCTTTTTGCTATGAGACTCTATGTATTCCTTCCATCTTCTTTTCATGTTTCCTCTTATTCAACATTTTGCTCACAGAATCATCCAGTATCGTGACTGGAGGCTCCAATGTTCTCATTTCTTTCAAATTGAGAAATGTTGAGTGTGTTCTTCCCTTTTTATTTTCTAACTCCAAGTCTTTGTACATTTCATTATAATATTTGTCCTCTCTCATTGTCCTTTGAAATCTTCTATTCAGCTCTTTGATTTTACAGTTCCTTCCTTTCACTTAAGAGATCTAGCTGCTAACAACTTTCTGTGCTCAAAGTAAGTTTCAGAGGCTCTTTGGCATCTATTTTAGTGGGGTTTCTTTCTCTCTCCCTCCCTCCCTCTCTCCCTCTTTCCTGTCTTCTATTCAGTAAGTCAAACCTATTATTTTTTTTTTTAGGCCAAAGTGTTTTATTAAAGCAAAGGGGTAAAAAGAGAATGACAAGGAGGCATACATGAAGGGAAAATAGTAAATTTAGATGAGATAGTTACATCACCAAAGGGATGGACCTCTCTCCTTGAAAGGAAATATGGAGAAATAGCCCAAACCATCCTTGAAATGGTCTCAAAATTTAGGCAAGATATAGTGATATTCAAGGTCATCGAGATCTTTTTGCTGTCTTGAGCTTGTCTTCATTTTCTTGTACTTCACTTGAATTTGCAGATGAGCAATTGATCATCTGTTGTGCAATCAGATCCTAGCTGTGTTCTAAGTGATACTGAGATTCTCTGTTGTCTATTTCCACAGGTGTGACTGATCTGATGAGGTCCACATGTACAGTTGTCACTTATGCTGTTGAAAAGAGTATTGCCATTGAATAGTTTGTGGGCCGTGCACAATTCTCTCGTGGATCGCCAGTGTCCTTTCCACCAGCAAAGCCATGTTTCCAAACTACTGCTCCTCTGTTTCCAACTTTCTCATTCCAGTCACCAGAAATCATCAGTACATCTTGATTCCACGTTTGATCATTTCAGATTGCAGAAGTTGATAGAAATCGTCAGTTTCTTTATGTCTAGCATTAGTGGTTGATGTGCAAATGTGAATAATAGAAGTAAGACTTCATATGGATTCAGAATTAGTAACAACATTGCCTGCGAGCACGGCAACCCCCATTGTTCC